GAAGAGCTAGGGTCGATTTGGTTGTAACTTGATATGTACCTATACCGGGATGTGTTATAAATAAAAGTGCAAGTAACTTCATTTTGACATAATCACACTTCATGTGACGTCACATTAAAGGGGTCTTCTCAAAACAGCTGGTCATTGCAACAACGGTCATTTCTCTATTTGGAAGAAGTCTTGGAAAAGGATTGTTTTGTTGCCTCTGGCCTCTACTTGATAGCCTCTTTCGCACATGCAAGTTTCAACTCGAGTTTTTATTTCGGCAGTCAGATATCAGTCGTCGTGGACAAAATGGAAAGGCGGAGCTTGTTTTCAATTGTCAATAACTCAATATATGATTACCCGATTGGAAAGATTTTTTCGTTGTTAAGGGTAATGACTATACTCTCCAAATTATGTATCGGTAATTCCGAAATTTTCTTATTTAAATGTCCGAATACTCGCTTACTTTGCATTTACAAACTTGTAAGGCCTAGGATAAAGTCAGCTTAAAATGGACATATTTTCATTACCATAGCAACAAAAACATCAATAGTAAAACCACCATCTTCTACAATTTGAGTTCAGTGACAACCGTACGTATGCAAAACTAACTCGACAATTCGTTTAATTTAGGATCGCAAGTGACTACGGGAAAAATTGTTGCATTATAAACAAACATTGACATACACTATACAAATACAGTATCAGACATGGTAAGGCAGGCATAACCCTTAAGTTCTGATAAAATTCTTGTTTACGGTGTTATGCACACATGTGTAATGCAATCTATGATGTTGCTAGGAAGCACATGTTCAAAGGTTTCTCATTTGCATCAGCAATCGATAATTGTTGAATTTGTATTTACTTAGAGTGTACGTTATCGTATGTTATTTCTATATAATGACGGTTTATATTGACCGTTCCATGCAGTTCCCGATAAATAATAATAAAAAAAAATTGGACTCGTTCGATTCAGAATAATTATTTTGGTCCGCTCGGTGCAGGGCAGATTTTGCCTCATTTTTCCATATTCTTTGGTAATCTTTTGAAAGATTAAGCAGGAATGCGAGATTCCATAAAATGCGTAATAATAATGTCAGATGGGTGCGATATTGATGGGTGCGATACAGGATTACACTCTACCTCATTTTTAGTCATTTATGCTCGAAACTGCTTTGACCCCCGACCTTCGAAAGAACGACCTTTAGTAGGCCTTGATTACAATCAAACTAAACATGCTCGCACGGCTATCACGGAATTTTTTTTACGAACATTTCGTGTGAGGCTACTAGAACCAGGTAACCGATATAGCCATGTCTCCCCGCCGGGCCATAACCGGTTAATAGCTATCAGTTTTATTTGCTCGATAATTTTGGTAGAATTGTAGGGGCTTGTATTGTGTTTTGGAAGACTATGGTAAATGGTCATTTATCATGTACGGGGAGTTGCTGCAACTGCACTGTCAAATTTATATCTTCAAATTTTCAAACTCGACGAAAGCTGTAGTTGGCTTGTTCAAGTATGTCTGGCGGATTAATTTGCCGAATAGTAAACATACACGTCATTCGTTGTAAGTCCGATTTACTGTCAACACAAAGACACACAAAAGTACTTCACACGTTTACTGATACAATTTGAATCCTTTGGATAACCCTGTGAGTTTATAAGATTACAAGTTATTCCATTTGTAATTATTATACGAGTTACAATATTTGCAGATATATAGCATTGATCTATATTCAAATGGTTGTTACATTATCAACTTGAAATCACAAAATATATTCAAAGAAGTTCGTTATACACTAATAATGAGGAATCTTCCAAATTTGGTAGAGAAACACATCTATAGGATATTTGGCAAAGAAAGTCTCATGCAGACAAATGGGAATAGACAACAGTCACAAAATGGGGCGCAGCACAACGTGAGAGCATGCTGAATATGTAGGTAAGAAAAAGGAAAATAATGGAAAGAGTGACGTCAGGACAGACACATGACAGAAATGTATGACAGGTATGACAATTGACAATGGCTACAGAGATGATTGGATAACAAACACGGAAACAGTAGACGAGTGGCATCAGGAAACAGAAACCGTCATTTGTGACATTAAAGCGGCAGTAAATGCCCAGTAAAACCACTGGCTGCTCTCTGTGATTTACTTTATGTCTTACACAATAAGTCGTCGTTTCTCTTTTATTTTTGGTTTGATATTACGCCTAGACCATTTGGGGTCTTTACATCATCGTGGAAGCATGAAAAGGTATTTTTTTTCCGTCTTGCGGCAAAGGTTATTTCTACTGGAGTATTTTTTTACATAAAATAAAGATGGAAGCCGTCTGTCTCTAAAGAAGCAGTCAAATCAAAAATGAGAAAATGACCTGAAGCCAACTAAATGACAAACGTATGTGTTTTCAATTAAAGATCAACTAGTAACAGTGAACTGAAAGATCGAAAAACTAGGTCAATTTGCAAAACGTGGCCTGTAAGAAGTTTTCCTTTAACTATGCCTGATAACAGATGACCAACAAAGATGATAAAACATCAAATATGTCACACTGTACATAAAACACCAAATACGTAAATGTAACCGGCGTACTTTGGCATTGTTACACAGTAACAAATTAAGGAAAGAAAACAAAATACGTAAACAGACTAATGATTATAAAATAATAGCAAGGCACAGCATGGATTTATAACTGGTAAAAATAAAACCGACAAACAAAAATTAATTTATATATCAAAGAGGAGAAAACTTCGAAATTGGCTTCATATAGGTATTGTGGATCTATTTTCATCTGGATGCAAAGTCTCAAACTAAGTGCTACATTGTAGTCCAATAAAGCATCGAGAAAAACGGAATTAAACCCTTTTTGTACATATTACTTGCAGTCATGGCACTTACTCACTGGCAGTGGTATTATGGATACTGTAACATTGTCCACAGAGCATCCAGTAGGCCATATTAGTTTTGAGCAGGTCCAATTTCCATATGCTTGATGACTAGTTTGACTTTATGTAAATGTGTATTTGTTAATATTGATTGGTTTTTTTTTAATGTCGACTATGTTTGCTTGGACCCATGGGAGACCAGTGGATTCCACTTTTTTTGAAAAGGCCACCAGTTGAAAAAAAGAAATATATAGAAAAGAATAAAATAGACTAACTATGTGTTAAAACTGTGTTTTTTTAAGGAAATACATGAAAATAAAACTACCAAAATTCCAAAAGCTTAAATGGTGGCATTTTGTTTGGTATAACTTGATAGTAATACATTGAAGTATATCACACGTTAATCAGTGTGAAGCAAAGAAACGAATTTGAACGCAGCAAATGTAAAAAAAAAAAAAAATGCAGCAAATCACCAATTTAAGTGTTCTTTTTTATTTTTGAACGTTGCCTATTTAAGCTTTTATGGTTGTTCACATTATGTTAATGATTTTACGTATATTTCATGATTTAACCATTACTATCTCTCAGTCGTTTTCTCATATCCGTTTATTGTATCTGCCTAATTCGCTCTAAATTCATCTTTAAGTTTTCTTGATGTTAAAAAGTATTCTTCATTTCGATTTTCCTGTCTTTTGAAAAAAGTAACTAAAGTTATCTTTATCATCTTCTACTTCTCTCCACTAGGTTTGAACATTTAGTTTTAAAGGTATTTTTCCCTCGTCACTAGATTTTTTAACGCCTGCTGTATACTATGTGTTTTAAATGTATAATTGATTTATACATTATTTTTTTAAATTAAATCAAATAAGAAATTCCACTATAACGAACACCGCTATAACGATTATTTAACTATTACGAACATCCCCTTCGGAACCTGAAGTATTACGGTTTGTTACAATAAACAGTCATTTATTGAGAACGATCACCAGAACGAAAGATTTTTTAAAAACCCATAAATAAATAAATAGGGTTTTTATTATCCAAATAATTAAATAAATTTCTTCTCTCTTCTAAATTCTTTTATGCAAATGTCGGTTAGGACACACCCCCGTCGACCTTTATAGATGTTGAACACGAGTACCTTCATTTTTGCGGCTTTTTCTCCACAAGTTGTGTTTCCTCGTCATCTTTGCAAGAGAAAAGGTGCAAAGTATAAAATCGGATGATTAGAACTGCCCTATCAAAGGACGCTGTATCTTTACGGAAGGCGCGTTTCGACATTCCTCTGGGAATTTTTCATTTTAGGCCTATTAACTATGGTGAACTTTTATTTGCCCTCTTGCACCCACAATGTGATTTATGTTTAATGACAAATTGAGCATCAATGTTGTGACGTTTTCAAATGAAACATAGAGGGCATTTCTAAACTTTACTTTTAAACCAAAAGAATTATAAATGTTATATGTCATAGGCCAAGGTAAACGTCTACATTTAAATGAGATACTTTTCCTTTGTCCAAAATGTGCAATGGTTTTTAACTTGACACCGTGATTAATTGAAGAGATCCGATGATGTGCAATGATGATCCGAAATAGGGTGGTCGGTTTACCCAACCAATACTTTGGTTGGCGAACCAATGCATGACGCTCTAATAATGGATAATTTTTTTCTCTCAAAATTTTGTTCATGGTATAGTGGGGTAGATAGGGGAAATATGTGTGGCAATTGTGCCTTTGATGATACGAGCATGGCATTTGGCACACAGAGTTTGTCTCAAGAAAAATATTACAGGTAGAATAACAAATTTCACAAAATGATTGCCATTAGTTGTTATTCTACATTGACGTTTTAAGAGACAAGAACGGTTTTCCCCCAAAAGTCATATACACACCTCCATTGTATCTGAAGGAGAACTGAGGAGATTACAAATAGTTAGCCTCCCCCTCCTCCAAAAAGAATTATATTGGCTTTACAAAGTGTAAGGTTTCATTATTTTGGTTTGAGGGATGGAAATGACTTAGTAAAAAAAAAATTGAACATAACAAAGGCCCCAATAATTAATCCGTCGGTACAGAGATGAGAAAAAGATTAAGTAAAATATGTTTTCCCCAAGAATTTAACATACCAGCTTTGGTCCGAATGTATTTGTATATATATATCAGAGAGCCGCATACAGAGATCCGCACTGCAATATTAGCGATGCTGACAGCAATGATGCACGCTGGGACGAACTCATCGGGGAAACCTTGCGTGGTCTGTCCAGTCTGTTGAAAGGAAATTTATATTTACTCGGTTGTTTTTGTGTGTTAAGAAATCATTTAACCCTGCCCAGAATAGTTGAAATATTTCAAAAGTATGTTATCCTCCACTTTAATTATACCTCAGTTGAAAAGTACTCAATTAATTTCAGCCGTTATAAACAAAAAAATTCAATCTCAAACGCACGAGCAAACTTCATTGGCAGAATGGAACAGAGGAAGATGGGTTTGTTACGTATTAAAATCATACTCACATTTATCAGGTTGTATGTGATGTAGACCGGCTCAATCAAACTTGCCAACGGGATGATAAACACCAGCGGTTTCCATTTTTTGAATAACTGAAAAATATAACAGCACCAATTCCATCAACTCTGAGACACTCCTCATACCCGTATAATTGTATTTGTCAGAGTAAATTTATTTCATTTTATTTGTATGAATATTCACATTCACTGGAAAAGACACAACAGTATTGACTACTTACAAACAAGAAGCCAATGACACACATAATAGTGGAATACATAACTCCTCCAACCAGCTTCCCAATCTCTGAATGTGCCAATCCTGTCTCGTCAATCTTCAGGACAAGTGCCACAAACGTTAGCTGCCGGAAAGTATACAGTACAAAAATGAGTCCTTTTAGCACAGTAAGGACATTCAACCTACATATTAAGTAAGTATTCACAATAGAAAATTCAGCTAGAACATACAGTACGCAAAAAAACCTTGAAAAATCAGATATAACTAACTTGACAGATCATTAAAAAAACTGTTCTGACCTTATCAAACAATGTAGCATTAAAACAATGTGTAACATTAAAAGCAAAATAAATGTACAGCATTGAAAGTGAGTTCAGTGACCTAGTTCTTCCGAGTGTGTTTCAAGAGCTAACCCATATTATACAACGCCCGAACAAATTGGTGGGTCGTTGATCACTTGTCACTGAATTATTCCTCCCAACCCACAACACGACCGCACGGCAAAAACAGAGGGTCCAATCCACGGTATATGAAATTGCACGGTCACGCTTATGGCGGCTCTGACCAATCATATGACGAGGATTTAATCCGGTATCGTATAAAACGAATAATGAATTATTCACGTTCGTGCAATGATAAGAATAGGTTAATTCGGTGACAAAAGATTGTTCCATATTACGCTTGGCTTCGCCTTGTGGGATGGAGCATTCCATCTATAACCTCATTAAATTATTCCTTCGGTTTTACTCATAAACACTCTTAAATAGCACTTATTATTTGTATACTTACCTCCAGATGAAGATTCAACAACAACAAACACATCACGAACAGATGTTTGATGTTCTCATCTAGCAATAGATGACATTCAAAATATATACAAGTACTACAACACTAAATGGTACTAAAAAAACTGGCATTTATATATTAGGTTTTGTTAATCTTTTTGAACAATCTGTGTAAAAATCGATGTTTTGAGAAATGTGAGTGAGCTTTACAGACTGTTTAAGATTGTAAATTAAAATTAATTTACAGTCAATGTTATTAAAAGCCCCAGGATTATCGCAGACGCTGGAGTAAAGTCCCAGCCAGCCTTATACGCACTTAAATCTAAGAGTTACCTTGATTATATGTCTCTGCTCCCCACGGAAATAACATTGTTCTTGCCTGCCAGTACTTTATGAACAAATACATAGCAAGCGAAACGTTTGCAACAACAACGGTTGCAGCCAAGACCACAATTACCTGCAATAGAAAGAAAATCAGTGAATCTTGAGGTGTTGTTTTCAGAAAGACAACACTTGTAAGAGTGTTCTATAAGAAGTATGCAAACACGACTAATTAAGGAACCCAACTTGATTTTTTAACTAAATATGAATGATTCTTTTGGAAATTGAACAATTTTGAAGTTGACTGGAGCTGGGTTTGAACTTGCGACTTTCCAATTGCAGTTTCAGCTTTTCAAAAACTGTGCTATCCAGCCCTATATTGGCGGTTTACCAATCTGGCAATGTCTTTGCTCAAGGGACGCTTTCCATAAGACATTAACCTGTATTATGCTAGGGATCACGTAAGTCACGATGCTAGGAACATTGTCAGTGCTGCAACCTGGGAAAAAGCAAACTAGGATCACTCAAAGAGGGTACTGCACCTTTTTTTTTTATAAACAACAAAGAAAAACTGACTAAATATGAATAAAATTATATGGCAACACCGTATTTTTACGTGGATAAATTTTACTTACGATCTTAGAGTTTTGATCTCCATTCGGCATCTGTTCTCCTTTCAGTATCGATTCCTCATCTTCCGGTAGTATGCAATACATTATGCAATAGGCTATCAGAACCACGTGACACAAGCAATATAGTAGAAGGCTGTAAGGCATCCTCCAAAACACACCGTGAACGGGATACACCAGAAGGAACACTACAAACATGAGTGGAAATATATTTCACAGTGCTTGAAATTAACATTACAGCTTATTAGGTTATTGCCTATAATTATATATATAAACAGATCGATCTAAAAGGATGTCACATCACTTGCATCGTTTTTGTTAATGCTAAATTTATTGTATTGTTATCATCTGAGGTTTTTGTTCGTAATAATTGTATCAACAAGAAGATCACTTTAAAACCTTATTTAATTTGATATAAATGTTTGATATAATTATGTTCATAAAATTATCTATCTGGGAAATCACTCAAAATTGCACCTTTCCTTAAACCATTTACCTGGAAAATGCATTGTTTCCTTCAACGGCAATAAAGGTTTAAAATGTGTACCTTTAATAAATAATATGTATTACTTATTGTCACCCGTGGATTGTATGAGTAGTTAGCGGAAAAATGTATAATTCATTTCAATGATTAACTTCAATACAATTATATTGATCGAAAGTAGCATGTTGCTGTTGCTGGTGTTGTATTTTGTGTTGTTGGTTGATGCTATGCAAATTAAACGAGGTCACACTTAAAAATTATCATCTGTACAGCATGGGCAAACTTCGATTACCAAATGTGATGAATACTCACTCCTAACTCAATTATTCCATCCTATTCAGACGTCCAAATCTACTCCTTTAACAATTAGCCATTTTATAAGTATTAACCGAATTTTAACAATTCAAATATCTGCCATAAGTAAATGGCATAACAGACATCTAAAAAATATCTGTTAACAGTTATTTAAATTGAACTAACCTGATGTTACACCCAAAACGATTACAAATATAAATTTTGGCGAATCCGGTGTTCCTTCTGCAAACATCACGATTGACATCAGAGACGCTGCGTAGCCAACAGCGAGGACGGACAGGACAAGAAAAAGCCATTCCAGTGGAGACAAGTCAGTGACGGATTGTCTCTTAATTTTCAAAATGGAAGGCTTATATTCTTTCTTCTGGTAATAAAGAAGATTTTTGAGTGAATTGATTAAGAGGAGCATAGGAAAAGTAAAGGATGCAACACCGAAAATCGGAGCTACAGCTATGGGCTGCTAATAATACATCGATATTTTGGGAGTTCTTTAATTCAACGGAATACTTTTTTTGATTATTTGTTTATGAAATGCAATATATCACAGGAGTTCCTTTATTTATGAAAATTACACAATTCAATTTTCAAAAAAGTCATAATTTTACGTCGTTAAGATTGCAATATCCAGGGTGTTTAAAAAAAAGGAAACCGAGTTTATTTTGTTGATTTCTCGGGTATGACTAATTATTTAAGAAAATGGTAACCACCATCTGTTACATAACCATGTCTTCTCTCTCTTGACACCACGAACTCCATTTTACCGTCACGGATGACTGAGCACCAAGTGATGTAACTGACTTTCCAATAATGGCATTGTACTACATGCACCATAAGACCAATTGACAGTTTTCAGCATGTTGAAAATAACAAAATCCAGGACGTACATTATCAAAGTCATTTATTCAATTGCTAAACATATCAAGGTTCATCACTGTCCCTGTTAACCCCACTCTCCTTCAACATGCCCCCATTCCTTTCAACGCAAATCTCTGCCCTGGTTTTCATTGATGTGAACGAATTTCTGATAACGTCTCTTTCTCTGATAACTGTCAATTGGTCTTACTGTGCATATGGGACAAGGGCATTTTTGGCATTTCAGTTACATCACTTAGTGCTCAGTCATCGGTAAAATTGAGTTCGTGGTGTCAAGAAAAAGAAGACATGGTTATGTAGCAGATGGTGGTTACCATTTTCCTAAATAATTAGTGAACCCGAGTAATCAACAAAATCAGCTCAGTTTCTTTCTTTTTTTTGAAACACCCTGTAGTATAATATATAATATTAAAGAAAAACAGGAAATAAATGCATATATATAAGCATGTAAAGGAATTATTTAGGGTACACATTTCATTTTTAATGTTTCAAAGGTAATTACTAAATACACTATTATTTATCTACATACATTCGGCGTCATCGTCTTCTTTGTATATCTGTTTAGGCTCGGTGGTTGCGTTCGATATCTGCATTGGTAAACAACAGGAGGTCGTAGGTTTGAAATCTCGAAAACCCTGGTATATTACTGAGTAAACTTAATTTCATACGCCGGTGAAAGTTAAACCGGATACATAATTATATATTTTCTGACGCAAATTCCCGTCCTTTAAATCTTCTCTTTAATAATTTAAAGCAATGCATGCACTCGATATGAATGAACGACGCGTTAAAATGATTAGCAAAATTGAGTTAGCTTTTTATATACAACGCCAATCTCCATATGAGACGAATTTGCCAAATGTATGGCGAGTTAGAATGTTACATTAGTGTATTACCCTGATTTCAAAATGGAGTCTCTTGGGATCAAATTTTAAATTTAAATTTACACTACTGCCCACTAATTTTATAAACGCAATGTAAAACAAAAAACGAGGCGATCTGTATGACAAATTGTAAAAGTAACCAGAAACCAGAAACTCATATATCTACTCACCAATTTCCAATATTTAAAAAGTTATGAATAAACGTAAAGCAAGTGCTGCAAACCGCTCGTTTTCTTGAACCAAAATTGTAAATGGCGGCTAAAGTAAATATACGCAGTACAATGATAGCACAAAGGTTATCAAGACTGTCACGTGACAAACGCAGTAAATTATTAATATATTACCTCTAAATAATCTTTGAGATCTGTGCAGTCAGTTTAACCCTTTGAACTTGATTCAGTAAACAACTTTGCCTGTTGACACACTTCGTAAACAGCTTTGCTAATGCTCGTCAATCCTGAAAAAAAAACCACCCCTATCTGTATTTGCCGGATGAGGCTGTTGGGACAATGAATCATCTCTTCATGTATTAGGAAATCCAGGCTCAAAAAAGACAATCCATCATTAAAAAAAGAAGAAATTATGCAGTTTTAACAGTTGTAATTTTTAATTTTGAGCTTCTGTACTCAACGTGTTCAACTTTAAAAAACAGTACTAAATATTTGAACTGTTGTACACGTTACCGAAGATGCATGTATTGGACACAATGCGTTTACTTCAAAAGGGGGCAGCTTATTTATTGGTTTCTCCTATCGCAAGTCACACAGACTTTTTACACGATTTTTCTCCACACGACTTCTGTCATTTGTAAACCACCATAAAACTTGGCATAAGGGAGACCATCACCAAAAGGCGGTCCACGAAATAAGAGATCGTAATAACGTCATCGTAGGTCATGTGACGCTATTTTAAATATGTATATTTTAAGGTCCCAGAGAATTGAATTCTGATTGAATTCAAACAAAAACTGAGGTGTCGTCATGATGAGGTCATTACAGGTCATTTGACGTCCACTTAAAGGTATCTTTGTTAATAATAATAATAATAATAATTAATTCTTATATAGCGCATTACATCATTGACACAATCTCAATGCGCTTTACAAAGTTAATAAAACAAATGTCATTAAATACACTAAAAAGCTCATTAAAAATATTAATACATCACCAATCTATTGATTTAAATACCAAGTAAAACTCATTAAAAATACATTAAAACCACAATCAGTCAATCATCATGAATGTTATTTAAAAACCTGACGGAAGTAATACGTTTTTAGTGCTGACTTAAAAGATAAAAAAGAAGGTGCGTTCCGAATAAAATAAGGAAGCTTATTCCATATACTGGGTGCTGCTACTGAAAAGGCACGCATGCCATAATGATTTTGATTGAAACGGGGCTGGACTAAGCGTGTTTCATTGGAGGAGCGAGTGGCTATAGAACTTTCCCGAACTGTCAACAAATTCAACAAATAACCAGGTGCGTGTTTATGTAAGATTTTATAAACCAAGATAAGGATCTTGAACTCAATACGCTGTGCCACCGGAATCCAGTGAAGACTTTGGAGAACAGGGGTAATGTGCCGATATTTCTTAGTATGGGTAAAGTATGTTAAGGTCCTATATCTACGGAACTGTAAGTCCGATAGGGTTCAACATTGGTCTGTATGCATAACGGGATGTGTCATAGGTAAACATTGAGAATGTCATATGTTTTTTTTTCTCAGTTTTTGAAGCTTTAAAGCAATATCTCATCAAAGGAACATTCTTTTTTTAAGTCTTTTTGTTTTAGGTTTGTTAGATCTTTGCCATTGGCACAAAAATGTGACACATGTCGACGATGTTTTCATGAAGTGACAAAAACCTGCAAAATCGAAACATTTTCGATTTTGAGTTTTGCTGGCCAATAAATTGCACTTGACAAAAAGAAGAATTTGGCTGAGTTTCAAAACAAAATAATGTTTGATTTCGCGATTATCGCAAACAAACATTTGACAAAATACCTAAAAGCCGTGATTTTTGTTTTCACGAAGTGGCAAAAACTTACCTCGTTAGCAGGGCCAGAGGAATAATGCATTTCTCTACACACGCGTTAGGATGGGAGTGGACGCGCACGCCGTGAACGCTGTCGATAAAGAACAGACGCGCGCGCGCTACAGTGACGTCAGACGCGCAAATGTGACAATTTCTTAGAACTTTTTATGTTTTCACGAAGTGACGAAGAGTGTGTACAACTTCATGGGAAAAAAGTGAGGCCTCTGTGTTTTGCTGTTTTCTCTAACTGATAACAACTTTAATTGATCTGTATTAATGAATTACAGTTTAATTAAGAGAGACTTATAGATACTACAAGAATTTCTAAAAACTAGTCGAAAAGGTGTTTTGAAAAAAATGATTAACTTCAAAGGCGATTATCACGGAATGACCTTTTTGCATGACATTGAGGTTTTTGTTATTTCGTGAAAACACTGTCGATGTGTGAGGTCATTATGATGTCAACAATCATGTGATTTTATATAGATTTCTGAAATGCTGATTATAAACGCCATATTTATGGCATATATTGTATGTGCGTAAATACATGCAACATACATGTGTAGCTTTGAAGCCACTTATAGTGGGTCGCCTTGTCAGCAGGCCAGTCCACACCTTTGGGGAATTGTTCTTTCAGTGTGCTTTCTCTGAGCTGAGCAAGCTCATTTTTCTCTTGCGCATTTTCTGCAGAGGCCTCAATCCGATCATGCAACCTAATTAGTACTCGACTGTAGGCCCCTAATCTGTGAGGCTTTCCCCCTGCAATTGCATTCGGCCGTACAGGGTTCTTGTCAGACACTGAGCTGACTCAGGGGAACCAAGCCCCATAAATGTGGCCAATTTACTGGACTACCTCCGTAAATAAAGGCCACACTTCCACCATGTACAAAAACATGTCAAACTTTGTCAAATTTTGATTTTAACATTTAGACTTGGTTTGTAGGGTTTTTTGCTTTAGAAGCGTACTCACCCTCTTTGTAGGCTTATAAGGAAGTGCTGCCTTTTTCAGATGTCTATTTTTGGTGAAATTTCCAGATTCTGTTTGCACACGTTTGCGTATCAAAATTTCAACACGAAATTTCACGAAATTTATAGATCTAAAAAAGGCAGCACTTTCTGATTCGCCTATTAAGAGGGTGAGTATACTTATAAAGCCAAAAACCATAAAAACTAAGCCTAAATGTAAAAATCGAAATTTGACCAAGTTTGACTTTTTTTTGTACATGATGAAAGTGTGGCCTTTATTTACGGAGGTTGTCCAGTAAGTCATTACAGACACACTCTCGCAAAATGTGGTCCGGCAGCTTTCTATACAAAAACCTCGTTGGCTCGGGTTTTTGTACGTAAACCTTATCAGTCAGCCGATCACGCTCAATTGACTTCGGCCAAACTGCAGTCCCATCATAAGAAATAAGTAAACAATGTTAACAGGACATTTTTTTCCAAGAGTGTGTCTCTAATGATGGGCCACATTTATGGGGCTAAGGGGAACCAAACCGGGTTTTGTTATTTCTATTTTCGGACTAATGGGCCCTTCGGACTATCGAACCCTCGGACTATCAAACCTTCGGACTATTGAACCTTCGGACTCACGAACCTTCGGACTAATGACCCTTCGGACTAAAGAACCTTCGGACCATCGAACCTTCAGACTATCGGGCTGTAACCGTTCCGACACCCCTATAGTCCAAAATTTCAACCGAAGTTCTGACACCCCTATGTTCCGACACCCATATGTTCCGATACCCCTATGTTCTGACAACTTGCACATAAGATTGTGTTACTCCCGGAGGGGGTTAGTGTTATGGTTAGAATTAGCTTTAGGTTACGGTTAGGGTTAGTGTAGGAATTTCTGGGGACATCGGTATTTGGTAACATAGGTATTGGGTAACATAGGTATTGGGAAACATAGGTATGCACCCGATCCACGTAACTCTTAAGCACTAGGATTCCGAACAACTGACAATAACATTAGTTTTTGTTGACTTCCGTCGGGCGAAGAGACTCGCACAGTCTCAAACAGAGAGGAGATTCACATAAAATAATATCAACTAGCAGAGTTCTTGATTTCCTTGCAAGATGACTTTCTGATTAACAAGAGATCATATGTTCGAGTATTACCTGAAAATAAGACTTGTGCCTTTTTTTTCTCTCGAAAGTCCTCGTAAGCACTGAGAATGCAATTTAAATAAATATGTCCGTGAAGGAATTAACGAAATTATTTCTCCCAACTCTAACTATTCAGAGCAATGCATATACTGGATATGAGTAAACGACGCGTTAAAATGATAAGCAAAAGCAACTTAACTTCTCAAAAACAACGCCAATCTCAAAATAAGGCAAATTTGCAACAGCAAAAAATAATACAACTAAAAATGCCTACATAGTTTATTACAAGGCTCTCAAAATGGAGTCTGAGGGGACAAATTTTGCATTGAAACTTACACTACAGCCAAATAATTAGGCTTGTAAATGCTATTTAAAATAAAAATGTAAGTGGTTGGTACGAGAAATTGTCAAAATAATTAGAAATGTCTATATATACTCACCGATTTAAGGAGCTCTACAAACCACTCGTTTCCTTCGACATATGGCGACTACAGTGAGTATACGCAATACAATATCGGGTTACAGTATACGGTTATCAATACTCAGACATAACAAACACAGTAGTTTATTATTAACATATTAACTTTACACAATTTGTCTAGTCTGTGCAGTCAGTTTAACCTTTGAACTTGATTCAATAAACAACTGTGCGTATTTAAACACTTCACGAGTCCTTACACTATCTATAAGTAGAGAAAATTGGATATGTGTTATAATTTCCTGGCGACCTGTTTGAGGTCCTCCACAATTGTCTAGTTTGTGGGAAATGTCTAGCTTGAAGATACCCAAAATTCGACGTCAGGTTTGGCCGGGACTGCAAAATACTCAGGCATTTTCAAATTGTGTAGAGTACAGTACACAACTGGAATAGCTGATTTGATGACTGTTTCGTAATAGATGAGGAATTCTGCCCAAACAACCGTCGAAAAGATCGTTCATTCTCATCGATAAAAAAAAAATACGAATTATCGGACATCTAAGTCAGATTTCATAACATTGACATAAAATGCAAGAGTGTATTGCAGGGAGATTTGCTTGAAACAAACCTAGGAGGGCTTTCCGACAGTCATGCCACTCATTTATCTCATCATTTCAATAAGTCTGTACAAAAACTGTTAACATTCAAATATTGTTTATATTTAATTCGTCAGTTTTGTTGTCAGAAGAAAAAAAAGTCTGACAAGTAATAAAGATAATATGCGACCATTCTGTAAACTGCATAGGAAGATGATGCCATCAATGCTTCAGTCGCATTATTTACAGGATGCAATAAGGAATAAACCTTCAAATAATACAGCTCGGTTACATCAATTATTGGATTGCTGTCTGGTGTCCGTCTGTACATAGATGGCACATTCTTGTCCTACAAAAGCTTATATATCAGTGGACCTCATCGTCTCATTATCCATTTGCTAGCGCAGGGATTTTGTTGCGTTTCCTAATAGCAGTTCATGAAACATTTATTAGAGTCAACAATACGAAATAAGTTGGAGGGAAATAGAGCTTTGGGGTGACAGTCACACATGTCAATACACTGAATTATTTATCACTTCACTTTTACATAACTTTGTGTAGATTTCATCAACCTAGGGTTTCTCCTTTTGGTAGTTTGGTAGCGTTATAGAGATAACAGGTTGGTGTCTACAAAGTCTATACATATACTATGGCAAAACCATGTCAACCAATATGAACCGATCGAGTGGACACCGGCACGGTACGGGTTATCGACGGTCAGACCGAAGCGGGAGCGGTCCGCTACGGTGACCGGGGAGGCAACGGCAGCTGGACTGGGCCAGCGAGTGTACCAGGCCGCACTACAGTTCGAACCAAAGTGTACATGTACGGCGTATCGGGTATCCAAGGTCAACCAAGGCACTAAGGATAGTGTTTATGACAAGACCGGGCTAGCATAGCTGAACTACGGGGGAATGGCTACGGGGAGCCGGCTGGCCACAGCGGGAGCGGTCCGCTGCGGTGACGGGGATGAACTAGCTCTGGCTGGGCTAGAACACCAGACAACCGCACAACAGGTTAAAGCTAAGACTAGCAGTCCAATGGTCATTATAAACCGCACAGCACCATTGGGACTAGTGTATTACTATTTCACCAGCTTCTCACACTCCATGTAGGGTCTAGGAGAAGAATGCTTCATAATAACACTAGTGCATGTACTAATGATTGCACTAAGACTTTCACCGCGCCTAAACCTACGAGGGAGGGGTGCTTCGTAGTGACACGAGTCGCACAACAATCGGTCTGTCAGAGTCGAGTTCGCCGCACATCATAGAGTTACCGCAAAACATAAGTTCGCCGCACAACTTTGGGTTTAGGATTCAAACACACTGCATTGGTTTCGTGGTTCGCCGCACTGCCGAAATTGAGGAAAACCTCCGGTATTTATAGGCAGTAGAAGTCTCAGGATTAAATAATGCATGAGCACTGATTTACGAATTAACCAATAGTAATCTTCCAAGTCGAAGGGTCACATGACTAGTCACATGATTTACTAAGAGTGCCTTGTGCAAGACACTAGAAACGTGTGCATTTACATAAAGGAAAACATGGAGAGAGAAGTGTGCAAATACAGAGAGAGATGTGTGCAAATAGTTAGATAAGAGTGCAAACGTGCTTACACAACATCTCAAGCAACCTTAATGGAGTGAGTGACTAGCTAAAAGGTTACTGTACGTGTCACAGGTTATTTACATCGCAGGATGTCTTACCACGCCCAGCTACGCGACCAAGCAAGGGTAACATTTCATTCCCTCGAGCTAAGTACGGGACTGGAAAACTGCACCGAGAGCTCCCGTTAGAGTTCATGGGTAACACACGGGGTAGAGAAATGCTCCGTGCCGCTGAGCAGTCTCTCGGAGAACGCCAAAGCACACATGCTATGGGGAAAGGAACTTAGCTCGCTGGGGCGAAGGGAGGTGT